GGTGGGGAATGGATAGCAAGGAAATAAAATAGACGCACAAAAGAAAACACTGTTTTTTTTAAAAAAAAAGCAAATTAATAGCTATCCACTTAATTTGATCTGCATTTTACAGGAGGACCAAAAAAAAAAGGAGAGAGAGAGAGAGAGAGAGAGAGAAAAAGCAAACGTGAGCTGGCCTTACTTTTATCAGGTTTAGGTGGTCACACTGAAAAAAGAAACAGATAAATGCGAATAATAAAAATGAGAAAGCAAAGAGTTAGAAAGAAAAGAAATAGCTACAGTTCATGTGAGTCGCCTGCCTTTTGGTCATGTGCATTTTGCTTTGATTCACTTAATAAGTCTGAATACGACAATAACACTGAAAACGCTAGTATCTTTGAACCAAACTGTACACGTGCTGATTGAGGAAGCCCAAATAGCGGAACCTGTGCAAGTGGAAGACAACTTTACAATGTGCACTCGCTCAATATTGTCGGTGGAAATCCAACTGGTGGAACTATCGCTCAATGGGAAGGGATGTGGGTCCCACTCTTAGGCGAGCAGCTGGCAGAGATGCTCTCATAGATTCCATGCCCGGCTTTGCTGCCCACCAGGAAGCTCACAGGGAGGTTCCCTGGTACCCGCCAAACACCTAGTGGGGGCTCAAACATGTGCTTGTCGGATGTCAAGTGACCATCTAGTCACGATGGTCCTTGGGGGGGTGAGATAAGCTCCAAGATGACATGTTCGGCAAGCCAATGTCAGAATCGAGTCAGCCCTCACGTGACGATCTCTGTTGTCCAGTTTCTGAGCCGGGCAGGTCCGTAGTACTTCAGTGCCCTGCTGATTGCAACACAGCGAGCCTGGCACATCAGCAGGGCGTGGAAGGTCAGACAAGTCACTGAGGGCAGGGACTCTTCTCACTCAGTTACCATAAACCCTGCAAGTCAAAGCCCTAAACAGTCATGCGCTCCTCGCTGGACAAGCAACAGGAAAGCTTGCCAGACAGCGCTTTCAATGGCAAGGTATTTGAGTTTAGCTGGTTACACACCAGCAGTGTCCTCTTATCAACTTGGGACTAATACTCTCTGGCGTTAGGTAAGCAGGTTGCATCCCTCCAGGGAGAGAGAGTGCTCATCTCATTGGTGGTGACAAGTTAAGCCAAGAGTTGAGTTATCAGGAGTTTACAGTAGATCCCTTCTTTCAACCGATACGATTGCCTTTTATTAGTAATTCTACTCATCTTCCTTTCTCACATCTCAAGTTGGGACTTTGAACTCAGTCTAGGCTGACACTCAAAGCAGAGCTGGGCAGTTGAGGTGTTGTCCTTTGGTTGGGACATGACACTGAGGTCCAGTCTGACTGTTCAGGTGGACGTTAAAGATCCCAAAGCACTATTCAAACAGAGAAGGGATTTCTCCCCACAAACCTAAACCCATCTGGGTTTCACCTACAAAATATGCAATCAATTCACTTTACAGTATATTCTGTGAAGCGCTTTGAGACGTCTCAAAGACGTGATAAGACGCTGTATCAAATGCAAGGATTATTATTATTACCCGCACTTTTGTCACTTCCAATGCAACTCCCTAACAATCTATCACAAGGTTTAAATTGCCCAGAACTCTGCAGCCCTTTTGCTTTCCCAGACCTTTCACATACTCTGCGAGTCCACCATTCTCACTGCTTTCCAAGGTCAGAACAAAGACTTAGATCTTGGTTCTGACCTTCAAATGCCTCCATGATCATTCCTCACTCTACCTCTGATCTCCTTCGGTTCGATTCCCTCGATTGAAGTGATGACTCGGATTTGCTGTGTATCCCCTGCCACACAATTGGTGAGCAAGCTTTCATCTTCTTTGACCTTTCTCTCTAGAAGTCTCTCTTTAAGTCTCTCCACCTCACAATGCTCCCGCTCGGTTTTCAAAGATCCTTAACCTTCCGACCCCATGTAAAAGACGCTATTATAAGTGGAAAACATTATTGTTGTTGGTTTCCGCAGTATTTTAGAAAACAAAAGCGACTGCAGTGTCAGAATATATACTGTCAATTCCAGGTCCTAACCTGATTGATAAGCAAAGTGATTAATGCTATATCACAGCTGTACATGGCAACACTGGAACTCACCACTCATTACCCAGGAAAAGACTCAACTGGAATAGAAGACTACACAAAAGAGTATTTTATACACTGTATGGAGACATAAATGATAGATGGAAATGAATTCAAGGATATAATTTCACCTCAAATTTCAGATAATGCTTGAAAAACTACTTAAATAGCATGGATTGAATCCCTCAGTTAAGTCACTACCTGGAATTACTGTCTAGTACTTTGCACAGTGTCATTTTTTTACTTGAATTCATTATACTCAACATAAACACTATTGGAACATTGGGTCAGAACTTCCAAATGGTGACTCGGGTTCCTGGAAACTTTATACAAAATCACCAACAAGATATGGTGACAGTTCACCCCAATCATCCCTAGTTACATCTGTTGACGACCAGGGCAGGTACTGAGGGAAAGAAAAAAGACCAGGGAAGATTAAACATAAATCATATAGTAAACTAGTGAGAATACTGTTCTGTATATTTTTAGTAGACCGTGCTGACACGAGCAGTGAACAGTTTACACAGGTGCACTTTAGACTTATTCACTAAAATCTCACTGGTGTATGAAATTCGCAGATTGTCCGATTCGACACACAGCAGCATCGTCAGTCCAAACCTATGCCCGGAGAGAACATTATGAAGTGACGTACGTACGCTGGGTAGAAGTGGTGATGGCTGAAACTCTGTCACTCGTGGTGTTGGTGTTCGAGAAGATTAATCACACCGGAAGCATCTCAATAATGGATTGCCTTTGGTTTAATTTTTCCAATAATAAATAAAACTAGCAAGAACACGGTCAAATCATCGTGAAAGTGTACTCGCTTTACAAATACCCCCAACTTTGGATGCTACTACGGAGTATGGAGATTCAAAAGCCCCCGTAGCATTTTTAAAAGAATTGTTTGAAGTTTTTTGTACATTTTACTGTATTTCTGTACTTATTGCATTGTTATCTGTAGGAGAGGCACACTGAAAGGCATCAGGACAGAAACACAATTCAACAAATCAAATTTGAAGGTATCAATCCTCAAGTCTCTCTGAGTTTAGGTGGTAATTACCTTAGATTTGCAGCCTGCCTGAGTTGACTTTAATGCCTAAAGTACCGTTCTTGCATACCTCAGGGTACGTTAGTCCTTAGAGCTCTCAGTACATAAGAGATGAAATACGACCCATAGACTGAGTATTTTGGCTGATTGATGGGTGATAGTTAACAGTACAGAGAATGGACACACTGAGAAACACGTACTTTAGTTACTTAAATGTAAGGCACATTTATGTACTTTAAAAATTAGGCTGTGCCTTAGAATTGACAGCATCTTAGAATTGCAGGAAAGTTTTACTCCCCCTTCCTCATGCCCCCCCCCCCACCCTCCTTCCCCGAAACCCACCAAAATCAATCTGCGCCTTAGATTTGAGAAAATATGGTATTTTATTAGAAAACAGAAATGAAAATGCTTACTTTTGAAAGTCGCTTGTGAGACTAGCAGAGACAGAGCATGCACGGAGAGAAGAAATCACAACATAAAACTGGTTGAAATTATGTTCAGAAGCAAAAAACAACACTCAGAATTGTTTTCAAAACTAAAGTGCCAGTGGTTTAATAATGTTAAAAGAAACAGCACTGATGTACACTATCCACTTGCGATCAAGGCAGGTGTTAAGCTACGCTTTTGTAGGGCCAGTACATCATATTCGTGCAAAATGGACCCAATCCTTGCAAAACTGATTGCTATCCATACATAAAATTGATAAAACATATCCTGACACATAAATAAAATATCCTGACTAAACCATTCTTCCCTCTGTGTTATTGCATACTACAAACTGTTAGAGATTGTATTTGTGCCAATGTGGCTTTTTCCTGCAGTGTCTGTGGGTGCAATTTTTTAGTGTGTGTCTGTGTGTGCGCACAAGAGAGAGGGAGAGAGAGACAGTATAGTCATGTGCCAACAAAAGTGCAGAAACCTTTGCCAATTCATCTTTTTTTTCGCCCATCAATTAGACTTTTTTTAAAAAAATAAACAATTTAAAAGAATACATCAATCGAGATAGGAGAGAAGTGTTCCCTTAATTCACCTTCCCTATCTAGCACTGTTCCTGGGTGAGTCGGGATGTTTTTACCCAAATATTATCCACATTAATTGCAGATAGAGAGTAAAGCCTGTAGAACATCCCATCTGAGCAGTAACCGAGTTTAAATTTGAGGACAAAATAGGCAAAAGGCTTGTTTACAAGAGCTCAGCATTAATGTACACGTAAACCCGATAGGAGTTCCGTTAATTTACATAGTTAAGATCCATCCCAGTTGGATCAATTATCAATCCCACGATGTAACAGTATCTCTAAGGCAACATCTCACTTATACAGTGCAAAGGTTCAGGGGCAAGTGATATGTTGAGCTGAGTGTCTGTCCATTCTGCATTGTGACATGAAGCAGATAAGGCGCGAAGCAAACCAGACCTGCTAAGGAGATCGTGCCAGTACTAGTGCGCAATTTGTCCTGCTTCGCCCCACAAAATACTCAGTCGCTCCACTTTACAGTACATCCTGTGAAGCGCTTTGAGACGTCTCAACGACGTGATGAGGCGCCGGATCAAACGCAAGCTTTCTTTTTACAACTAAGCAGGCCAGGCATCAGGAAAACGGTTTGCTAACTGAGCATTCCTTTGGAGCCACACACAAAAAAAAAAACGTGGCCTTTCACATCACGGGTTTGTAAAATGTCTAATTACTTCAGTTATGTTCGTTCAAAGTATTGAGCGTGCCTTTCCTCAGAATGACTACTAAGAAAACTCCTAGCAGCCCCTCAAGGGAACAGACCAACTGGTTATGCAACGACCCTACAGCCCAGCCATACAGGATCCCTATCAAGTGTCCCGATTCTCCTCCTCACCAGCCTCCGCTCACCTTGTTGTTCTTGCTGCTTCGGCCAGACTGGGAGGAGTAGCTCCGTTGGATGCCCTGCTCGGGTGTCGAAGGAGACTTGTCTGAAGAATGGTCGGAGCCCTTCTCCACCATGTTCTCACCCTCTAGGTTCTGAGGGGTAGGGGATCGTGAACGTTTCCGCAGGATGGGCGAGCAGGCTGGAGTGCTCCGGGCAGAATTACTTGCAGTGCTGGTGAGAAAGGAAGGGGGAGATGGATGACAAAGCCTCTCGAGTGCATTATTTTCTTAAAAGACATCAAAGCAATCCCCTGGCATTAGGTCTCAAGGGGAATATGGCAACTTAAACACTAAGCAGCAGTGTACAGTTCCTTCCGTTCTTCATCTCAGCGTACAAACAAGTTTCTTTTCAAGTTTTTCTATTTCCCCCCCACAACGTTTCATTTCCAACCAGCATTTATGTTGGGAGTAGGGATTCTTCCCTCTTTAACCTTTAAGGTTCCGTTCTGGCTCAGTGAGGTGCATTCGTGAATAGTGATGCTGTCAGTGGCTGCAGTGAGGAGGTGCTGAGGGGAGACAGGCAAGGCAGGTCTTGCCAGCATTCAACTGGAGGAAATTAGCTCTCATCCAGGACTTAATGCTCTGACAGACATTCTGTCAGGACAGCAGTGGGTCCTGGAGTCGAGGGTGGAGGCAGAGAGATGTAAAGTTGGGCGTCATCCGCACACATCTGGAAGTGAAACCTGCGGATGATATGACTGAGCGGGAGCTAAAGAGAGGATTAAAGAGAGGATCGAGGAAAGACCTGAGGAAGGCTGCTCGTGACGGTGCGAGGGCAGGAGGGCAAGCCGTTAGCGGTCACAAAATGGAGCCCTTCGAGACACAGAAGCCGCGAGTGAGTAGACTCCGCAGTGACCAACACGGTGTTCGGTCCGGATTAACCGGTATATTTAAAACGAATAAGAACACAAATGAATTGGGGCTGGGACGATCTGTCCAATTCACTCAGCGTCTGGGCTTAACTATTGCCCATGTATAGATGGTTTATAATAATAATAATCCTTGCATTTGATACAGCGCCTTATCACGTCTTCGAGACGTCTCTAAGCGCTTCACAGAATACACTGTAAAGTGAACTGACTGTATATTTTGTGGTTGGATTTTCCACTGCAGAAAAACAAAATGTATGGCCCTGTTCGTGCTACAAGCCACAACACACATTCTCAATGAAAATATACAGTCTAATGCATCCTTAATTGTGAAACTGCTCTGAAATTGCCTGTGATCCATTGTGGATCTTCCACATCACATCACAGCCCAGCCATCTGCCGTTTGAAGCTTGATGCCACATTAAAATTATTTTTGCTAATAAATTCCCTCAGGAAATGTTTGTTTCTTTTTTTTTAAAAAAAAAACTGGGCACATTTGGAAATTGCCTCGAAGTCTAAATTTGGTTTACTCAAAACAGGTCAGAGCCCCTCTCACCTATATGACGGTGGAATCCTGACACGCACTTGAACATTTTAATTGGCAACATCCAACACAGCATCAGCTCAAGCTCCATAAAGAGCGAGGGCATAAAGTAGGACATTGGTGGCTGATGCAGCTTTTCTTTCCCACTCATCGTCTTCGGGAGGAGGGGGAGGGAGGAGGAGGAGAGTAAGTGCCTGACGTCATTTTACAGTGAGTAAGCAGAACACTCACGTGGTCCCAGCCTTCTACCAGCAACACAACTGCTATTGCGTCGCAATATCCTCTCCAGTGAAGTTTCTCCCCTCCTCCCTCCCTCCTCCCTCCCGCCCACCCACCCACTGACCCTTCTGCATTCCTCTGGAGACCGGATAAATTACAATTCAACGCATTTCCAGCTCCTCGGAAAGTACCGCACTCCAGCGGACCTGAGTTTTTGGGGTTCTGGTTCTAACGGCGAGAGGAAACACCATTCCATTGGCTGAGACTGCTCTACCGCCAGATCCCAAAATGGCAGCTCTTTGAAATCATTCACCTAAGTTTTCTCCCCCCCCCGCACCCCTTTTAAAATATCCCCAGTTGATTTTGTAGCTATATTATTCTCGGCTCGTGCATTGCGCATTCTCACAACCAGATATTCATCTTTTCCAAAGGTAATAATAATAATAATAATAATCCTTGCATTTGATTTAGCGGCTGATCACATCTTCAAGACGCCACAAAGCGCATCACAGAATATACTGTAAACTGTAGTGACTGTATTCTGTGGGCGAAACGTGGCAACCAATTGCTTAGGTACAGTGAACTCCTGATACATTGCCACTCCAATGGAAGGGGTGACTGCGAAGGCATGCGTCCTCCGGGCTCACTAGGGGGGGTGCCATGGTCAGGAGTACCTACACCAACACATCGCAGAGCGAGCAATTGTCAGTGTGACAGAGCAGCCTCAACCCCCCACAAGTGTCAATTTATTTGTTAAAAATATCTTAAGTACGGAACAAGCTTATGTGTCTATAAGTCCCATTTCCTATCGCTTTGCGCTCAATTTGCCTGGAACACAACACAACTGCAGTTTCCACATGACAAAATGTGGCAGACAGTCAGATATTACTCAATCGTCCTACAAATACACAAGTCAAGGCGAGTATAACCAACTTGCCGTTCTGTCATCCTAGCAGCACAAATTACATGTGCGCAGCGCCTTTCACGTCAGGAGGGGCTTCCCATCAAACTATTAAGGGCGTTATTTGGATCTACCTTCCCGAAACCTGGGAGCACAAGAGGAATTCTTTCCGACCTCAAGCCTTGCTGGCGAGCAGTTGATTTATACCCGTGCCGTGTAGGGTCTGTGCTGAGTAGAAGTTCATAGAGTGTTACAGCACAGAAGGCAGCCATTCAGCACCCAGTGCCTGTACTAACGCACTCAAAGAGCTGTTTGTTTAATACTATTCCATTCCTCTGCTCCTTCCAAACCCTTTCCTATTTCTCGGTGTCCCAAGTTATTTGTCCAATCGATTTTCGAAAGCTAATATGGGTCCTGCTTCAATGATAACAACCGTAATCCTTGACATTTGATGCAGCGCCTCATGGCGTCTTCGAGACGTCCCAAAGCTGCTTCACGGGATACACCGCAAAGTGGATCCGGCTGTACGTTTTCTGGGCGAAATGTTAACTGGCCAAACGGGGCACCAAGTATTTTAACCTCGGAGTTTCAAGTTAAAATCCTGGACTCGCACAGAATTCAGTAAAATATAATTACCTTTGTTTGGCTGTAAAATACCTAGCGGAGGAGGAGTGGCGGCGGTGTTTCCTCCCTCCCATTGCCGTTCCCATTGGACGGGAAGGGGACCAATTAGCGGCGGGGCTGAGGTGATTGACAACAACAAGAACAACAACAACAACAACACATTACATTTACACGGCGCCTTTCACGTCGGGAGGACGTCCCAAGGCGCTGGGGGTTTGGACTCGAGCGAGCAGGGGGTTGGGATCAGGAGGGGCGGAGGGCAGGGGAGGGGAGGGACAGGACAGCGCCTTGGGAACGGATGAGCCCGCCACCCATTTACAAACGGCTCCGGTCGTCAATCAATTGCAATTTGACTCCGCCTGTTCCCCCGCTGTCCCCCCACCCACCCACCCACCTCGCTGATTGAGCATCACCTGATCACGTAGGGAGGGAATGGGATCCTTCACCCCCTGTGCAATTAACGGCTGCAATATCAGAAGCCCCCCCCCATGCGCAGAACAAGACCAGTCATCATGGCATCAGGCAATGCAGATACTCCAGCTAAACCCAAATTACGTTTAGATTCTATTGCGGTTGTTATGAAACCCTTCCGGCTGTACAGTATATGTTCACTGCACCCGAGGCACAATACTGTGCAGCATTGTATATGGAAAGAATGGGCTCCTACAGCTTTAGTAGGCATGGGGTTAAACATGGTATAGGATCCTTGCTTTAAGAAGAAGATGCTGCCAATGTCACAGTTACGGAGGCAGAGAACAAAAATAAAAAGAGAGGAGCGACTAAAAATTTCATCCGGTCCGGATGGGAAGCATCCTAGATTACCGAGGGTGGAAATAGTGGAGGTTCTGGCCAATCCTCCTTGGATATAGGAGTGGTGCCAGAGGACTGGAGGGTTGCAAATGTTACACCCCTGTTCAAAAAAAAAAGGGGAGAGGGATAAACCCGGTCACTACAGGTCAGTCAGCCTAATGTCAGTCGTGGGGAAACCACTAGAGACCATAACCATGGACAAAATAAATTTTCATGGGTTAATAGATGACAGCCAGCACGGATCTGGTGAAGGCAAATCGGGAGTGACAAACATGATTGAGATCTTCGATGAAATAACAGAGAGGGTTAATAAAGCTAATGTGGTTGATGTTGGTGTGTATGGACGTTCAAAAGGCGTTTGATAAAGTGCCACATAATAGACTTGTTAGCAAAATTGAAGCCCATGGGATTAAAGGGAACAGTGGCAGCACAGATATGAAATTGGCTGGGAGACAGAAAGCAAGAGAATTATGGTGAACATGTGTTTTTCAGGTTGGAGGGAAGTATACAGTGGTGTCCCCCAGGGATCGGTATTAGGACCACTGCTCTTTTTGACATGCAGTGGAAGCCGGATAAGCCTGCAAACGCTTGTGGTTGGATGAGCCCTCCACCCATTTACAAGTGTCTCAACTGTCAATCTCCACTCGTACTTCCCGGTTACTCTGCCCCCCCCCCCCACCGATTGACAGCCCAACTTAACCCGATTGTCATCCGAATTAACAGGCATATTTACGGCAGGTCAGAATACAAATGAATCAGGGCCGGGCCTTTTGTTCAATTTTCCCTACTGTTTACTACTAATAATAATCCTCGCATTCGATACAGCGCTTTAATCTCGTCTTCGAGATGTCTCACAGCGCTTCACAGAATATACTGTAAAAGGAATGACTGTATATTTTGTGGGCGAAACGCGACAGCCAATTGCGCACAGCAGCGTCCCCACAAACAGCCGTGGATTGAAGTGACCAATGTTATTATTATTATTGTTTTGAAGGAATTATTATTCCTGGAAAAGCGATCCGCCAATTGACTAACAAGCAGGTTCCTACTTACTGCTGGGTAAACAGAGGCGTGTGGGGTAAGGAAACTTGGCCAACATTTCACCCCGCCCGGGAATCCAACCCAGGTTTCTCGCTTGCGAGGCGAGTGCTGTAACCCTAAGCTACAGGGCTCCATCACTACCTTAATCACCTGGACTTGGGTGT